GGGGGGGGGGGGGGGGGGGGGGGGGGGGGGGGGGGGCGTACCTGTGCAAACGTCTCCATGTGCAAAAACACTCCCGGCTTTCCTCTTCGCTTTGCGCACACCAGCTTCCCGTCGATTCTGATCTCGAAAACCTCTTCCTCGCGCGTCGAGCTCACCTACAGCCGTAAGCGATTACGATCGCGGGTATTGTTGACAGAAACCTCGAGTCCCGCGACATGGTGGAGCATTCGCAAAAAGGTGGCGCTTCGGAAGCGCTCCAACCAACCCTTTTGCTGTGAGGCAGAAAGGGAGTGTGACGCACTAGAGTGAGGCATCCAAAGGCCAAACACCCAGGAGCGCTATTTAAATAATAATTTCGCCCACGCCGATTTTACCGGGCTCCGGAAACAGACCCCACATTGCAAAGCGATGTGTGTCGGCCAGAGGAAAGGGGCGATGTACCCATCTACTTCCAAGCCAGCAACACTCCTTCTTCGCGCGTCGCCCACCTCGACGATTTCTCTGTCGATGAGCACGTCCGGAAAATGTCTTTTGAGCACTTTCGCGATCTCCTCGAAGTATCGCTTGAACCCGCCCCCGCCCGAGTCTGCACTCCGACCGCCGCCGCCGTCGCCGAGACGCGTCACGAGAGAAACAACAACGGCACAACAACAACGACGGACGCGGAGCTGAATCAGCGGTCTTGAGCGCGGGCTTTATCTCTCTCTGTCTCTCTCTCTGTCTCTCTGTCTCTCTCTCTCTCTCTCTCTCTCTCTCTCGTCTCTCGTCTCTCTCGTCTCTCTCGTCTCTTTCGTCTCTCTCGTCTCTCTCGTCTCTCTCGTCTCTCTCGTCTCTCTCGTCTCTCTCGTCTCTTTCTGTCTCTCTCTCTCTCTCTCGTGATGGGCAGAAAGACAATGGGCAGGCACAAGTCACCCGTCCCTTTCGGGTGTTGCATCCATACATGCATTCACATGTCTGCGGTCTATTGTCGGTCTACCCCACGTCTGATGGACACGAAACCAAGCAAAAAACAGAGCCGACATGTGACAAGACATTACCCCCAGAGGAGAGGAGCATGCATACTAGGCCGGACAAGAATCAAGAATACGCCCACCCCCAACCCCCCCCACTCCGGTGTCTGCCATCGGGGTTGGGTTTTCGCCGCTTGGCAACGACGTTGTAAAACAAGCCACCCCCCCCGGTGTTTGCCATCGGGATTGGGTTTTCGTCGCTTGGCAACGACGTTGTAAAACAAGCCAATTCACTTCGTGAACTCGGCAACCAGGTCACCGTTGTTTTTTTGTTTTACCTCCGTTTTTTGTTTTGGCGGTAACCATAATGGTGGTCGAGTAGATCATGTTGTGCGGGATCGAGAACCCTCACTCCGCGCAAGGGGGATGATCGCACCACGTTGTGTAAATATGGTCAAGCACCCTCGAGGCAGTTACACAGTGATTACAACTGTCAGGAAGTGAAAGCACCAGAAAATAAATTAAGTCATACGCAGCTGTCATCCGTACGCAAGGAAGTAAGCACAAGATGCCGAACACCCTTAGCAGGATGCAGCGCACCCTTCATGCGACTCGCCGAA